TGGGGATGACCAGCTTGCAAAGAATAGCTTGCCATTATTAAAAAAGTTGCCGATGCCTGCTGTGCTTCACTGCGAGTAAGGAGTTGTACTCGGAGAATAAGAAACAGCTTAAGTGGGGCAAAACCCCAGATATGCAAGGAATGACTCATGTGGCACGCTTGTCTTCTACTCCCTTTATCTTATGGTTCAATAAAATGTGAAATCTTTCACTCTTATGGGCAGTAATTACTTTTATGGCTATGAAAAGCCTTCGCATATTATCCTGTATAGCTCCAGAAGTCCAGTCAACCACCTGCTCTTGTAGGGGGAAAAAAACACCCTAAATTCAGTGGAGGCTGGGTGCAAAGGAGTTGGGAGTGAAGACATCTGCTTCCAATTAGTCTGCATTTTCAAGCCTGATGTCTGCTTGGAAGTGATAGCAAGCCAATAAAACCCTTTCTACTTGGGGAGAGGCAGCAATAGTAGTAAACATACAGAGACAGGCTGGGAGCAGAAGTCCCTTATCATCAAGCTACCCAAATGTTCCACTTCTAATCTGTGTTTGTGTTATAGCTGGATTTACCACCAAGGTTCATTGAACGTGTAGGTGTGGGTACTTATGCACTGCTGCCTGTCGAAAGGAACTTAGCAAATAACACTCTGCACCCATGACCTGGGTTCTTCTCTTTTGCACCTTCTGGCATGAGTTCATCTTGTCCCTTGATTCTGGGGCCAAGTGTCTGTCTCGATCAGAGATTCCCAAACTTTTTTTTATTGTGCACCCTTTCCAGATTTACCAGCTGCCCGCGTACCCCTACCAGCATACGTTTTATATTTTACCCCTTACATGCCAATAATTATAATGAAAATTAAATCCGCCATTATACAATTTGTCCTGTATACCCCCCAGCGATGTCTTGTGCACCCCCAAGGGTATGCATACCACAGTTTGGGAGCCTCTGGTCTAGATCTTCCAGAGCGGCAGTGGCACATGCATAAGTTCCATTATATCAGAGCTGTCCAACTGGCAGCCTATGGGCTGCATTTGGCTTGCAAAAGGGTAATTTATGGTCCTTGGGCTCCCATCTGGCTGCTGCTCCACCCTATCACTTTAGCTGCAGCCCTTCAGGATTCCTCTCCCTTTTTCATCTTCCTTTTCTGCTCCCTGCTTCTGCCCTGGGAGGTTTGGTGGTATGGCACTGCACTGCACTGCACAGCACAGCCTTGGAGTTCATGGCACAGAGCAGCAGGGAAGCCCAGGACTGAGAGGCCTCTACAGTGTGGTGTAGTGGGGGGTTCATGACCCATATTGGTGTGGTCTGTGCAGCAAGCAACCTCAGCCAGCCCTGCATTAGACTGTTCAGGGATTGACAGTCAGCCAAAAAAATAGATGTGGATGAAACACAACTTTGCTTTAGTTCCATTTTATATTGTAAAGGCTTTTTTACTGCTATCTGTAACTAAATTGGGGGG